GTTCACAAAGATGTGAGAGAATTTTTACAGTAAACATTTTTTATAACATCACCAAATTATAGTTATCTCAAGTGTCAAACAGGAATAAATTGTGGAGTATTAAATAGAATCAAAAGAGCAGAATTCTAACACATATAAAATGTTTTATCTCCAAAACATATAACAAAGACTCTCGACAGAGAAGGGCTGGAAAAACTAGCCCAGAGAAAAACTGAACTCTAGACAGTAATTCATAAAATACTGATTGTATTTTATAAAATTAAAGAATAGGCAAAAGAAATGGGGAGAAATTACAAAGAGCTTTTCAAATTTTTTAAGGCAGATTCTCACTATGTAGTGTAGGTTGGCCTTGAGCTCACTCGCTTAGCAAGGGTGACCTTCAACTCACATCAATTGTCCTTCTCCAGTCTCCCAAGTACTGAGGTTATTGGCATGTCCCCCATGTCCACCCTAAAAAATGTTTGCTTTTGAAGGTAGAGAAACTAAGCGAAAAGGCAAACTAGAATTTTCTTATACAACCAAAATATTCACCTCACTCTGAATGTCAGTTACTTGATGGTAAATTTCATTTAAATGAACACTTTACATTCTTTTTTATTTTTTTTATTTTTTAAAGAGATTACAAATTAGAATTTAAAGTGGAAAAATTACAAAATATACAGAATTTCACTTAGCAAACTAATATGAATTTCACAGTATTTGTTGTAATACATAGTGTTACCTTCCAATCAGTTATTCATATTACCAGATATAGGCATGAAAATTTTTTTAAAGATTTAAAATCTCTGAATTTAGTTCAACTTATAATACCACATTTCCAAGAAAAATGAACCTTTTGCACAAGGAATTTAAATAAAATCATACCAAGATATACAAAAAATGAAATTGCCCAAAGCTTATTGTAAAGAAAAAAATCATTAAAGCATATACATAGAAAATATTAGCTATGGAAGAACAAAATTAAATAGCATCTTATTCCACATTAGAAAGAAAAAAAAGGACCAAGTGTGTAAGAAACTAGACTAATTATAGGACTGAAAGAAAAAAAATCTGTCCTTTTTGAATTTTATACTTAGCAAACATACCTTTAAAAACTAAAAGTAAAATGTTTTCTAGTTATACAAACTTGAAATATTTTAATACCTCCAAATGTAGCATATAGCAAATAACAAAGAGCACAATTCAAAAGGCAAGAGAAGTTGCAGTATGCTCCCAGATGAACAATAAAGAGCTCTCAAAATGATAGTTATGCAGGACTATACAAAATATATTAGATGAGCCCTTATTTAAAAGGTCATTGAAGATTTCTGTGAAACAGTACCAATCTTATGTCGGGTTATACACATATTTTTTTCATATATATGTGTGTGTATGTGTGTATAAAAGACAAGGAAGAAGTAATATAAAGTCAACAGAAAATGGAAATATACTTTTTAAAGTTTCTAATACTAGGAGAAGATATCATACTATGTCTTTTAAATAAATTGTAAGTCAAAGATATAGTATAAATCTTAAAACAAAAATTAAGATTAAGCAATATTCAGAAAATTAAATACTAATTAAATAAAAATTGAATGTTTCAAAACAATTGAACTAAGAAAAAGTTTTCATGATAGTAAAGAAGTACTAAGAATAAAACGTAAGATAAATATTGGAATGGCAAATAAATGACCAGCACTTCTAACAGTTGGGGGTAGGATATGAATACTTTAAATTCATGGATTGTGTTGTACATTAGTGCCTCTAATTTTTTTTTAAAAAGTTATCAGATGCCTTGGTATAATGGTTTATGATGGTGCTTTGGACATGAAGCAGACTAGATTTTAAATAAATATTCTGCCATGTATTTTAAAATTTTAAATGAATTCATTAACCTTCTGAGCCTTAACTCTTGTCATGTAAAATGATGGCAAACACGTAAGGATTTTGTGAAGAACTCATAAATACATATGTAGAATTCCACCACTTTTATCACTTCAGTGAAGTCCTTGCAAAATGCCTTTTTCAAATACCTTTTAGGTCTGTTATCTCTTTTCCTTTGTTTATTTTCCTGCTTAGCCCATATGCAGAGCACTCAGGAATCTTGCACAGCTTTGGATTTTTTCCTTTTCATTGCTGCAATCGGAACATCATCCCCACAACGTTTGGGGCTGAAGCAGGAGTGAGTGCTTCATCATTTGCGTCAGCTATGCCCAATACGGGCTTTAGACGATTCATCGGTAGCACCTCATTACAATAAAATATCATGTCAGTGTCATAGCATGATGAATAATAAGATCCTGCATTAGATTTTTCTCTCTAATTTTATATATAGCACAGTGCTGGTCATCTAATGCACATGTAACAAAAGGGGTTTCACAAATAAGTGATTCTGGAATTCTGAAAAATGTAACTGCTTTTTTGTTCACTAGCAAGCACTTGCAACAAATCTAACAGGTACGCAGGGATGAAGAGGTAGTTCTGTGATAATACTACACTTGCCTCTTCGAGCTCCTCTCTGACAGCCCAATGTAAATTCAGAAGGGAGACAAACAAAGCTGGGCTCCAGTGAACCGTTTTCCTACTCTTGTGCCCTGTTCTGAGTATTCCTTCCACAGTGCTTTCCAATTATCTTTCTTCTGTTATACACAGATATAAGTCCCCGAGATTCCTTTCCTATCAGGAGGCAAACGTATGCCAGTACCCCACCAACATTTTGTATTTATTTCCTGTTTTATTTGTACTAGAACTTTCACGCTGTGTCATAGAGAAGCAAGGAGAATAAATGGTGATAGTACTTGGCTTCAAAGTTTTGAGGAGGATGAGGAGTTATATGCCCACAGGGTTGATGTGTGCATTAGGCATGTCTAAATGTCTCTCTACACTCAGAACATACGAGGATTTGTTATTTTTAAGGTGACAAGTTTCCATAAAGGGTTTATATGTCCCTTGATCCTCCTGGGTATCTGATACTGGAGGCAAATAATTTAATACATATTAAAATTGAGTCTCTTGTCAAGAGTCTGGGGTTTGAGAGCACTGACTGCCTAAAATAAGGAAATATATTTTCCAGAGAGGATAAACTCAATTTACCCACACTTACTAGCCTCTCCCAAACAATTGAGTGCTTAATCCCTGGTTTTTCTCTTCTAATTAAAGAATATTACAACAAGTTGGAAAGGTGCTGATTATAAGTTGTTCAGCTTTCATTTCCAATTACACCTACATAGTTCTCTTTGTTTCCTGGAACAATTCCTAATCCTTTCTTTATGGATTGTGTGTTGCCTGTTGACACAATATGAGGGTGTTTTTCTGGAAGGGATTTGGTGGAAGTTGACATCATGTAGTGGTACTATTCATGAAAGTTCAATGCCAGAAAGGATAACCAGGTCCTACTGGCAGCCATTCACGCTGTGGGATGACCAACAACCTGCTAGGCTGAATATCAAATCTATAGCAATTATGATTAGTGGGGAGAGCTTAATCTCACATTTGTGTATACATTTGTATCAGAGCAGGAAAAAAAATGCTTGAAATGTTACAGTTGGAAAATATGAACTGATTTTCCTAAAATTATTCTCAGTCTAAAAGGATTATTTGGCAGAGTTGATAATATGGGATATGAAGGTTATGAGTTTAGAGCTGGTGCTGCTCTTGGGGACTATGTACAAGCCTTCCGTGGAGGTCCATAAATTACCAAATTTGAGGACCATGGCAAAGGTTCAACCTAGGAGCAGTGGGGCATACTCCTTCTCCATCCTGGTCTGCCCTCTTGTGGCAACTTCACGCTGCATTTTTGCCACACGCTGTAAATACCCTTTTCTACATACAGCATCCTTGATATTTATTACTTTGTATATTTCCAGGAAAGGGTGCAACAGAACTGAGATTGCTAACTCACTTCAGGCAAGAAGTAGCCCTATTACTGAGTATTTTTTACACGTTCTGCCTTATCTATTAATGTATCCTGTGTCTCACTTTAACACTGATGCTGTAGTACACTAGAATTCCCAGAATTTTTTTTATTCTCCCTCTATATTTCATACACATGTGTAAAACTATGAGATGTATTTATAGAGATGTACATACTTGTCCCTTATTATATTAAAGGAAACATCTTTGGTTTTCATTCTAAAAACATTTTTTCTGGCTCCCTTCCCTCACCTCAGCAGTTTCCCAAAATTTTCCCCATGTCACAAATGCTGTGTTGCACTGATTTCCAACACACCTTCATGTCCAAGATTTCTTTCCTCTCCTTTCTGCTCTTTGCCGGGCACTTTTCTGTCTGTCTCCAAAATGCCTGCATCCTTCCAGTCAGGAGATTCCCTCTAAGCACATTCCTTCTGCCAGCGTGCTTACTCTCCCAGCTCTGTTTTCACAAATACCAGCCCGGCAGGACTCAGGTTCCGCTGTCTTCTGCCCGCGCTGTAGCAATCTGGACAGTGCATCTCTGGTATCTGTTTCCGTTCCGCTCAAAGCTCCCTTTCATCTCTCTCCCTTTATCCCAGCAACTTTTTACTTTTCCAAAGCACAGACCTGCATGCCTTCCCCATTTTTTCCCTCTCCATGGAACTATCACAGCCGCCTGCTTCAGCCCCCAGCCTCTCTTACGTCAGTGCCTTCCTATCGGAGCTCAGACCACACCACCTCCCCTCCCCCGTCTGAGTACCTCCCTCCGTGCTAGTGGTCTGCGCTTCCTCCAATTACAGCACAGGGGTTTTTCTAACATGTAAATCTGCTCCTGTCACTCCTGCCTGAGGAGGAGACTGCTCAGGGGGCCTGGACTTGCTGAGGTGGACGCCCCTCTGCAGCATCCACTTGCGGTGGTCGGGGGCGTGGCCGGCCCAGCCCCCTCCCCCTCAGCTCACTGCAGAAAACTGCAGCCGGCGGCCGGAGCCGCTCACTTCCTATCCAGCCTTCAGCAAGGAGGGAGCTCAGCCACGTAGGCATTCTCGGCTCTCTGGAGGAAACGGCCCAGCAGCTGTCGGAGGAGGAGACCCACCAGCTGTCAGCCAAGGGACATGTCGCAGCTAAGTAAGAACCTGGGTGACTCCAGCCCTCCCGCAGAGGCCCCCCAGCCGCCTGTCTATAGCCGCCCCACGGTTCTGATGCGTGCCCCGCCTGCCTCCTCCCGGGCTCCTCCAGTCCCTTGGGATCCTCCTCCAATGGACTTGCAGGCGGCGTCCCTGGCCGCTTGGCAGGCAACCCAGCCTGCCTGGGAGGCTCCGCCGGGCCAGCTGCCAGCCCCGGTGGCTCCACTGGCCCAGCCTCCTGCCCTTGGGGGTCTGGTCCAGGCTCCTCCGCTGGGGGGCCCAATGGGCAAGCCTCCGAATCCTGGAGTCCTGATGGTTCAACCTCCGCCTCCTCCAGGAGCCCCGGTGCCCCAGCCTCCCACCCCGGGAGTCCTGATGGTGCCTCCTTCTGCTTCCGGAGCCCCTATAGCCCACCCTCCTCCTCCTGGGACCCCACTGTCCCACCCTCCTCCTCCTGGGACCCCGTTGGCTCATCCTCCCCCGCCTGGGACCCCGATGGCCCACCCTCCTCCTCCGGGGACCCCAATAGTCCCTCCCCCGCCTCCAGGGACCCCAATAGTCCCTCCCCCACCTCCGGGGACCCCAATAGGGCACCCTTCAACACCGGGGACTCCGATGGCACATCCACCACCGCCGGGGACGCCGATGGCTCAGCCTCCAGCTCCAGGAGTCCTGATGGCCCAGTCGATGACACCGGGAGTCCTGATGGTCCAGCCACCTGCTCCAGGAGCTCCGATGACCCAGCCTCTACCTCCAGCTGCTTTGATGACCCAGCCTGCACCTTCTCCAGCCCTGATGGCGAAACCTCCAGCTCCTGGTGTCCTGATGATGCAGCCTTCTGGTTCGAGAGTGACAGTCACCCAGCCTCCAGTCTCAGCAGCACTGATGCCTCAACCAGTGACACCTCCTACACAGCCTGTTCCATCTTGGGTCCCGCAGAATCAGCCCCTGATCCTGCAAATCCAGTCGCAGGTCATCAGGCCTCCTCCACAGATTCCGCAGGGACCGCAACATCCTCAGCTGCAGCTGCCGACAGTTCCAGGATGGCAAGCCGCCTCAACCGGATGGCAGGCACCTCTGCAAAGCTGGCAGGCCACGCCCTTGACCTGGCAGACCACACAGGTCACATGGCAGGCACCCTCGATAGCCTGGCAGGCACCACCACCCATGCGCCAGGGGCCCCCACCCATCCGCCCGGGCCCACCACCCATCCGTCCTGGTCCCCCACCAGTGCCACGCCAAATCCCACCTATGATGCACCAGGCACCACCTATGATGCGCCAGATACCACCTGCAATTCGTCAGGCACCACCGCTGATACGCCAGGCACCTCCACCCATCCGGTCTGCACAACAGGTCCTGACTACCCAGCCACAGCTCTGGCATGGGCTTCCACCCCCACCTCCGCTTCGGCAGGCCCCGCACGCTCGGCTGATGGCCTCACAGGTGCAGGGGGCACCGCAGGTGCCTATGGCACCAATAGTTACGCAGGTACCTGCGATGCCGCCCATTGGCCCACAGGTACCGCAACCAGTGCTGCCAACTCCGCTGTCTGTTCCACTTCCTGCTCCACAAGCTCATCATCAGGCTGTGTACTGCCCATCCATCATCTGGCAGGCCCCCAAAGGCCATCCACCGATGCCACATGAGCTGCCGACATCAATGGAGTTTCAAGAGGTGCAGCAGGCACAAGCTCTGGCCTGGCAGGCACCAAAGGTACCTACTCATGTTCAGCAGGCCCTGTCTGCCCAAGAGGTCCAGGGGCAGCCCACCCGAATCATCCAGGTGGAGCAGCAGCCCTTTCGGGGGGCTTTGGCCTCCCAAAAAGGCCTGCAAACTCAGCTACCCACCCACCAGGCCCAGCCCACGGGCCCGCAGGCAGAAATGCCAGCAATACAACTCTGGCAAGGGCCACCTCCCACCTTGCAGGCCCAACCAGGAGCCCCTGTAGCAGGGGCAAATTTTCCCAGGGATGAGGCTAAATCACTCATGACTCCAGCAGGAGAATGTGGGGCCTCTTCTTCAGAACCGAAAGGTTCTTCTAAAGAACGCAGGACCACTGCAAAAGCGAAAAAAGGTCCTCCAAAGGACCGTACGCTTTTTGCTGGCACTTTCTGTGCTCCAAGGGCAATGTCAGCTTCCAGGGCACACTTGCCAAATGCCTGGAAATACTTGCCTACCACATCAGACACCTTTCCTCCCACCTCGAGGGTGTTTCCATCTACCTCCCACTTTCAGCCTGTCTCTTCTAATGCCTTTAATGGCCCATCTGCCACCTCAGAGACCCTAGAGTCACTGCCACTTGCTCTGCAGTACCCATATGCCTGTGTAGAGGCTCTGCCTGCAGTTCCATGGGTTTTGCAGCCTAATGAGAATGTCTCAAATTCATCCAAGGCTGAACCCAGCATCCTGATGGCTACAGAAGCTGCCCCCGCAGCAACCACCACTGTTCCTGAGACCTCGAAGGCTGTCGAACCACCACGTCGCTCGGGCAAAGCCACCCGGAAGAAGAAGCACCTGGAGCCTGAAGAAGATAACAGTAGGCATAGAATGGACTCACAAGACTGGCAAAATTCATGGCCCTGGGAAAATTCTAGTCTGTGTAACTGGGAGATACCAAATTCTGTCCAGGGAGTTTGGGGAGACTGGGAGTGCCCAAGCACTTCCTATGGTCTGAGTAGCTGGGAGGGTCCTAGTATCTCCAGGGTCCTGAGTGGCTGGGAAGGGCCCAGCACATCCTGGGCACGGAGCATCTGGGAGGGTCCGAGCACCTCCAGGGGCCTAGATCATGGTGAAGGCTCAGGTTTCCCTCAGCCCTTCATTGCCTCTGAGGTTCCATGTCTCTCCCACAGATGCGGAGACAACCAGGAAGACCAAAGGGGAGAAACCCAGCAGTTCTCTCCATTAGATGAGAGAGCAAATGCTCTGGTGCAGTTTCTCTTGGTCAGAGACCAAGAGAGGGTGCCAATCCTGCGCTCAGAAATGGTGAATGTCGTCATCCAAGAGTATAAAGATGAGTGCTTAGAAATCATCAGCCGTGCCAACACAAAGCTAGAATGTAATTTTGGTTGTCAGCTGAAGGAAATTGATTCTCAAACTCACTCTTACATTATCATCAACAATCTGGGGAACCCTCAGTGTGATTTGCCAGCATCTGTTATAGACAAGCCCAAGTTTGGTCTCCTGATGGTGGTGTTGAGCATGATCTATATGAATGGCAACTGCATCAGGGAGAATATGATCTTTAATTTTCTGTTCAAGTTAGGGTTGGATGTTCGTGAGACAAATGTTCTCTTTGGAAACCTGAAAACCCTAATCACTGATGTTTTTGTGAGACACAAATACCTAGAATACAGGCGGATCCCTTGCACCAACCCAGCTGAATATGAGCTGCTTTGGGGACCCCGAGCATTCCTAGAAACCAGCAAATTGCTGGTCCTGAGGTTTCTGGCTAAGCTCCATCAAAGAGATCCTCAGTGCTGGCAATTCCATTATCTTGAGGCACTGGCAGAGTTTGGTGTTCAGAACTCACGCGCGCATGAGTCTGAAGCCAGTGATGATTCTGATGACCCCACCAGCAGAAACCGTCCCAGTTAACAGGTGTTATAGAAATCCTGTTCCCTTGGGTCTCTGGCTAGAGGCCTCTCACAGGGTGTGGGGGACATTTTGTTTCTGGTGGCTTTGTTCCTGTTCTGTATGCGTGTATGTTTGAACTTTAAATCTGATTTTATATTATCTGCCAAAGCTTTGTATATTTTCACATGGTGTTGATTTCCACTGGCTACTGTTCTCTTGGTATTCTGGCAATTGTATCTTTAAGTGATATCTGTGATTCTCTGTTTTGTTATATTCTGGCATCAGAATTGTGCTGGCTTTGTGAATCAGTCAGACAATCTATCCCTGCTATTCTGGTGCAGCTTATGTAAAATCATAATAAGTTGTTCTTTGGTTGTTTAAATGACCCAACAGTGAAAATTGTCTGCAGCAAAGTAAAGCTTTATATCTATATATCTCTATATAAATATACTTTCAGCATAACATGGAAGTGTTTGTCTTTGTTCTAATTTTTGCCTTAATGTTTGGGTGGCAAGTTTTAACACACACACTGAATAGACATGAGCACCAAGACTACTGTCAGGATAGTAAAAAGTGTGGTGACAACATTGATTTCTAAAAGAGTACTCCATTCGTCCACTGGTGTAGGGATTGTGGTGGGTGGTAAAACATTAAGATTTCCATTAAAAAAAAGTGAAACTTCACTAGTCAAGAAGGCAGAATTAAAAGAGTGTTGCATACGTCATCTGATCTATTCCTCTAAGTAATCTTTCAAATCACACAATAGTATTCTTAGAGGAGGGTGTAAGGCCTGACAGTCATATGCTCCACAGAGGTGTCCAGCAATTCTGAGGGGGGGTTCATGGGACTTAGTGAATTCGTCTGATGAGCTACCCCTGCTGTTCTGGCACAGTGTATGTAAAATTGTAAGAGTTTCCTGGGATGGGAAGGGAAACATGCCTCTTCAAAATACCCAGGGTGATTACTGGGAAGGGCACACACAGGTTTTGAGAGTCAGGAGTCCTGCCTTTTGAGCTTTAGGCTAAATGAAGGTGGGGGAATGAGAAGGGGGATTCTTTGGGCCATGGAAGTACAGGGAATACTCCTTGGAAGGAAAAGTTAATCCTGATACACACAGGGAGTCAACTGGAAACTTCTGGAGTTTCAGAAGTTCTGAATACCTGGTTGGCAATGGGTACAGGGCCCCAGGGGAAGGAGCTGCAACAGGCTCGAAAGTTTTATGGAAAGAATTACACACACATGCATGCACGCACACACATGAGGCTACATATAAGGACTTCCTGGAGGCCACTACTGTCCTAGGCGTGTGGTGCATTAGCCATGCTTGCCCACCCCTGTCTAATCAAAATTAGGAAACTCAATCTCATTCCATTCTCAGTAAACTTGAAGACCCCGGTAAGTGTCGATGGTGGAATTCGTCTGCCACCTAGTGGTGTTTTGGTAGTGCTACAGACACCGGCTCGGCCGCTGCCCCTCGGGGAGTGCTTCACTTCACAGCCCCGAAACTTAGGCTGTGGTTAAGACTTGCTCTGCAACCTTTGCCTGTCATTTCACCTGTACCTGTGCCCACTCCTTCAAATACAGTCCCAGCTTCTCGAATGATCACTGCCATTGGTGCTACAATCGCCAAGACGTAGAAACGTGAGCCAGTGAGTGGGGGTGAGGAGGGAGATGGGAGATGGGAGGCTCAGAGGGAGGCGTGGGTTCCAACTTCAACGGAACTGGCTTTGCAGGACGACTCACCACTCCTGGACCTGCCGGCTGCCGGAGACCTTCCCCTGGTGTTCGTGTCAGAAGGACGGAGAGCCTACCCACCTGCCCACCATCAATCCTTAGTTACCGTGACAATGGCAAATGCCTGCTGAATGTAACGGTCATCTCACAGAGAGCTGCAGCCAGGGCAGCAAATAGGCAGTGGCTCTAGTACTGCTGGTTTGACCTCGGTTTCTTTATGATATTTCTTTCATTTTCTCCAAACCCTCTACTCCTGCGGTGCTTGAGCAATCTAACAGGCTTTCTGTGGAGCCACCGCTTCTCTCATCATATCCCTGCGCTGCCACACCGGGGCTGTGTCCCCTGGTTGGCAGGTGGGCTTCCACATGTAATCCTCCATAGCTTGCTTCTCAAATAGGATACAAATTTAATGACTTTCACATGAAAAACTGAAAGCCTAAATTTGACCTAATTATGATATGTCAATGACAAGAAAAAATATTTTTTCATGAGAAATGCAAAACTAAACTAGCCAAATATTCCACAGGAAAATGTAAGAAAAACTGGCATTATGAAAGCAGAAGGCAGAAAATAAAACCCTGTTGGGTTTTATAATAAAGAGGTACAGGATAATAAGTCAGGAAAGGTTTAAAGCCCAGATATTTAATAAAATATAGATAAATGTAAAACAAAGCTTTTTACTATGTGGTGGGAAAAGATAAAATCCCTATAAATAAATTAGTAAAATGAAATAACTATTAATATTGGGCATTTCTCTAGTATTTAAAGATAAAAATACTAGATTACTATTCTATTTATCAGTTGATTGCACTGACACAGAATAAAGTCACATAGAATATCCAAGGTGAATAATAAAATATGCATTTATGTTGAAGATGTCATTTTGAGTGAAGACAGGCCAGTCTGGAAGGTGCAAGTCCCCTGACATGGCTTTCTCCAAATGACAAAAGCAGGATGGAGAGCAGAGTGGGGAAGACCAGAGGCCAGGGGTGGAGAGAAAGGCGAGCTCGTGACTGGGTAGGGGCAGCGCCACAGAACGCGCTCTGTAGCGGGAGGTCCTGTGTGGGGGATGGTTCTGGGTGCTGACTGTGGTGATGCTTGCAGAGTCTGCCTGTGTGACAAAGTGACACTGAGCTCGTCATCTGTGTGGCACAGATGGCTGTGTCCTGCATATTGAAACTCACCTCCGGCCACTGCACCCTGAAGGTTCCCGCTCTTGAAATTATAACTGGCTGGAATGTGTCATGAAACCAATTCAGCCAACCACAGCTTCAAGGGGCTTAAGCATATTAACTCTGTTTTACTTATAAACTTCCAAATGAGCACAGACTAAATGAAGATAATCCTCAGTGAGGGCAAAGATTTCTTCTCAGAGAAATGCTTATACATATGAAAGATACCCTACATGTCTGACCCTTAAAATCCATGCTGGGGTCAAGGAGGTCCAACAAGATTTTGCTGAAAATGCCTCAGAAAACAATGGGGTTTGCTCCACACCCGAGGAGAGCGGAAGGCATAGCACTCACAGGCAGGTGCTGACAAGCTGACTGCTACAGTCTGCGACTGGAAACCGTAGATGTGCGTGCAGCCACACAGCGAGTACACAGTGACCTCAAGAGGCCGTATGTTTTCCTGCAGCCATCTCAATAATGGTGAAGAACAAGCACAAAATAATTCTTAAGTTTTTAATGTATCAGTTCTTCAATTCAATTCAACTTGAAAATATTAAGGGATGGTGAAATAGCTCAGTGGACTAAGCACCTTCTTAGGCAAGCACAGGGACCAGGGTTGGATCCCCAGCAGCAGCCCCACTCCTGGGCGCTCTGAGCTGGCCAACGTGTCTGGGCATGCTAGCACATGCCTGTAATCCCAGTGCTGGGGAGATTGAAGCAGGAGGATCACGATGAGTCAGAGCTGCATAGTGAGACCCTGTACCAAATATATAAAAAAAGAAAACATTTACAACATTGATAAAGTGATTAAGTACAAGCAAGCTAATCTATTAGATAGCTACCTGAAAATGATAATTTGACTTGTGAATCTGTTTTGTTCTAAGCCAGTCCTCCTCAGAGGAATGCACCAGATTGCCGAATTGATGTATCAATCAACCGCATCAGTAATCACCAATTAATGACCATACTTGTGGCCAATGGGATACTTCCTTCTAGATGCAAGGGCTGAATTCCCCATGCCTCAGTAGCACTCCTGAAGCATCATCAGTGCCCCTCAGCATTGGTTTGTCTGCACAATTACAGGCACACATACAAGGTACCTTCTTGCCAACTGTCATGATACTTATAGGTGTCATTTGTCATCCCTGCCCATAGTTGCCAGAGCTGAAAACCTTGGAATCTTCTACACATTTGGCAAGATTCTAGTTATGCCAGTGTTGCTACCTTGGATGGCAAAATTTTCCTTTCTCCATTCTGTTTCCTTTCTGGCCTTGGGAACTGCCTTTGCAATAGTTCCTACCCTCAAAGTAGCACCCCCAAGAGACTCCCACTGACAGCCCACTGGTCATGGGGCCGCAGTGGTGCAAACCTAATGCCAATATCTGATGTAAGCCATGTGCTGGATCCTGATGTTCCTCAGGTTAAAGCAGAGCTCCCTCAGTTTGCCGTCCTCATTATGAGGGTCAAAAAACAGTGGGTTAGAGGTCAAGTAACCAAACTAAAAACTTACAAATGAGATCAGGGGTCCCTCTGCTGGACAGTTTGAAAAGTTCCTTGAGTTCTATGTTAAAAACCTATGTCAAAACAAAAACAAAACAAAATTACGTCAACAAAAACTTTTTTCTTGAGAGCAAGCAGTAATATTCAATATGTCCAATTTTACGCAATTATGTCTGTTAATCTGAGCAACAGATTTGAGGAAAAAATAGATATTATATCAACCATTTGTTTTATTTATTTTTTATTTTTTATTATTTATTTATTTCATTTTTTTGAACTAGGGATTGAACTCAGGCCCTTGCGCTTGCCAGGGAAGCACTTATTCCACTGAGCCATCTCCCCAACCCCTATATCACCTATTGTTAATCAGCTACTCTTTTCTTTCTGTATTTAGGACAGAGTCTACAAGGTCTCCTTAGTCAATCGGACTGTAGTGATTTGCCTGTTTTCAGCCTCCCAAGTGCTGGGATTACAGGTATGCCACAACCCCGCCCAGCCTTACTCATTTCAAAAATCTGTAAAATATGTATTGTTGCATGTTCCCCTGCTTCCATCTTTGTTTCCGATTTTTGTTCTTGCTTTTGTTTTCACGCTTGAAAATAAAATTGAATTAAA